GAGGAAAAAGAGCCAAGGATGTACATGATGTTACACGACTTTTACTTTTGAACTGTTTTTGTATCGTTCTTCACCTCTCTCCTCCACTCTTCACGTCCTCTCTCCTCTCTTTTCTCCTCTTCTTTTTGTTTTCCTCACCCTCTTCTCTTTTTTCTCCTCTCACTAATCCTGTCCTCTTTTCCTCTCCTCTTTGTCCAATCTCCCTCTCTCTCCTCTCTGCTTTTTTCTCCTCTCCCCTCTCTTCCCCTCTCTTCCTCCTCTCTCTCCTCTTCTCTTCTTTTTTCTCCTCTCCTCCTCCTGTTTTTCCTCTCCTCGTCGTCCTCACTGACCTGGTAAGATTCCTTGATGAGGGTGAACACGTCGATCTGAGGACCGGGAGGATCGTCGGAGGAGATGGCCGAGTGCAGAACCGGGATGTGCTCCTCCACCTCCGGGTTCATCACGTTCTCCAGGTACCTGCCCACAGACGGGTGCGACAGGTGAGACGAGAGACAGGTGAGATGGAAAAGAAAGAGGAGAGTGAAAGAGGGTGGGACAAAAGAGAAGAGATAAAGAGGAGAAGGGGGAGAGACAAGAGTAAGGAGGAAGAGAAGGGAGCGAGAGAGAGAAGAGGACAAAAAAGCGGGATAAAACAGCGAGGACAGAGAGTGGACAGTGTAGCTGTAATAATAACTCCAGTGAGTGTTACCTGCCCAGAACCGTCATGGCCTCCCCTTCATCGTTACAGGCCAATAGAGCGTCCATGTTGTCATAGAGAACAGACAGCGCCACCTACAGGACACACACACACACACAAAACACTTTATACATACAGCCTGCTGCTAAAAGTGCACCGTTGGTTGTGATCCATAAAAGGCTCCTCAAATGTTTTTAGTGTCTTTACGCCCTTTGCTGGCAACAAGGGAAAACTGTAATGCTGAAAACATTAATGCCAAAGGTAGAGAGACTTTAAAGCACTAAGGTGTTCAACAGGGGGTTCGCAAAATCTATGGTTGATTAGACTTTTTTTTAATACATTTTTTCATTTTTAAAGGATGGGGATGAACTGGTTTTCTGTGGGTTCCGTCTGTTCGCTTCTTCATCACATCTGTCTCTCTCTTCATTCCCTCATCTCTCGTTCCCCGTCAAACTGCAAACACCTTGGCATGTATTTTATCACTTCTTGTTAGGCTACATGTGAAGAGTGTTGTTACAGCTTCACTTTTACGCACAGCGGAACTTAAGCTCCGCACGTACTACCGCGCATCGGGAAGGGGTCAGGCAAATTCATTCCCCAGGTGCATTAACCAGGCTCCTCTCTGTCCACGGAGCGACCGGGAGAGGAGGAGGAGTCTTGTCTTTCCTCTTGCTCCTCAGATCAGAATGACCGGAAAAGTTCAGTGTCCCAAATAAAAACACTTGTCTGTGCACACTGTGTCTCCTCTCTCGTTTAGTCAGATCATTTAAAAAAAGTCACACTTTGAGCCCCCATTTTCCGTGGTGTCGTTGCTCCACTGTTTCGTCCTTCTCACCGTCGAGCACAAAGTGAAGCTTAAACTTCAGACCTGAATTAGCTTTGGTCAGACTCAGGCTTATTTCTGTCATGGATCGAGTTGAGATTAAGCTAGTTTCAGCTCAGGATTTCAGGATAAGCCTGGACCTGTTAAGCCATTTTGATGGAACACCCCCCTAGTATTGAATGTACAATAACAGAGCAGCTGTTTATACAAGACACTAGGCCCAATTTAATATAAAACACAATTGTATGCCATATATATAGTCAGGGATCCCTACTAACGTTGAAACGTTGAAGACCCCTGATTTAAAGCATTGAGGAGCACTTCTAGTCGATCACTGTATGATGTTACGAGGTGGAACAAGCCTTTTGAGCTATAGACTGAGGGTGGTTTCTGTGGAGTGGCACTAGATTTAGGTCATTAAAAATAGGTTGAATGAGTAAATAGGTGTAATGAAAGGGTCTGTACCTGGAAGATGACAGTGATGCCGTCGCAGAAGAAGGCGTCGATGAGCACGGTGGCGCTGTGGAAGGGCAGAGCCGAGAGGAACAGAGTGAGGAACCAGGACAGCGAGATGGAGGAGAGCACGCCCAGGTTCTGCATGTGCCCGTACAGAGAGGGCAGCTGGGCCTGGGTCAGCTCCTCAAACACCCCCTGATCCACCAGAGCACCTACGGGAGACACACAGGGAGGGAGACACAGATAAGACAGGACTCACCTACCCAGAACCAAACCAGGACTATTCATAAATGGACTTTTGAACCTTGAATACCAGAACTAAACCAGATGGAACTGACTAATCCTTCATCTGTCTAGGAGTGCTTTAATGTAGAGAATTTGTTTTATTTTGGTGGTCTGTGGTCTTTAATTTCTTTCAATCAAATTAATCTAAGCATCAAATTCTATTAATCCATTTTTTGCCCATCCCTTTGAGGAACATCTGTTTTATTATGAGCTTTTTATTTCTCTTTACATGGTCTCTCAAAAGTTTAGGTCTGCGCAGGACAGAATTTTCAGTCCCGCTCGAGCTCAGACCTAGCCTGACTCATCAACCGGTTTCACTTCGTGGAAACTGTCTGACCTCTCAGCATTAGGATTCGTTCGCTCGACGGTAGGCAGGTACTTTTTTAAATTAACCAATCGCCGCTGTTTGGTCGTGACGTATGTAATGCGTCAAATTACGAAGGAAGAAGGGCAATAACGTCTTTCCCCTTGATAAAATTCACCAAACATTCTCTTTGTTCTGGCTTTAAATCCTCGATCTCGGGAATCGTCGCCAACACATAATGTCTGTCTTCGTCTACATCCATCTCGACGCTTTGTTTACTGTTGTGCTGTACCACAAAAAGGACCCAGACAGGCCATTGAGTTTGACGTCATGGCTTCAGAATTGTAATTTTCATTCCCGCTTCCGCCCCCAACTGCGATATTTTGTCCCGCTCCCACCCGCAAATCCCGCAAGATGAGGGCGTTTGCTTTCTTAAACTATCAAACACAGAAAACCGAAAAGGAATTGTCTAAAATGTGCGCGAGATTAGACCACATCCGCAAGTTTAGGCTGCTTAAAATGTTTTTTAAGCAGCCGTGTAGGGGTCTACTTAAAAGACTAAAGTATAAAGTAAATAGTAGTAGCAACAGTAGTAGTAGTAGTAGTAGTAGTAGTAGTAGTAGAAGTAACAGTTTTACAAAAAGTAGTATTAATAGGAGCAATAACAGCTGTAGTAAAAGTAGTTTCAGTGGGAGCACTAATAGAAACAGCAGTATAGTAGCAGTAGTCACAGGAGAAGTACTAGATTAAATGGTTTATTTATTATTTATATAAGGTTAACGAGACCTCTGTTGTATCCTGTGGCAGACACAGACTTCGTACCTGTGACTCTGGTGTTGTAATAGTCCGGGAGGAGCCGTTCACACAGAGCCACCAGGAGCCAGAAGGCCTGTTCCTCCGGACAGTACAAAAGGAGCACTGAAGTCACTATGTTCATCGCCTGGAAGGACACACACAGAAAATAACAAATAAAACAACGGCTGAAGATGTATGTGATTAATGCTAAAAATCGTCCAAATATCGGAGGTTGGCATTAACTAAAATTAAAAAAAATATATAAAATAAAATAAACCTAATAAATAAACATATACATAATAAATAAATAAATAGATAAATAAATACAAATAAAATAAATAAGCTAAAATTTAAATAAAAATAAACTCAAATAAAAATAAAATAAAAATAAATAATAAAAAATTAAAATTATATTAAAAACTAAAATTAAATAAATAATAAAAAATAAATAAACATAAATAAAATAAAAATAAATAAAATGGCATTTAAAAATAAAAATGAAAATAAAGCAAATTAAAACTAAAATAAAAAGATAATAAACTAAAACATAAATAAAAATTAATTAATACTTTTTTTTTTTATTAATTACATTAAAAACTAAAAGAAAATTAAAAAAACTAAAATAATACTAAAATAAAAAATTATAATAAACAAAAAAAATTAAAAATTAATAAATAAAATTTAAAAAATCAAGTCAAATTAAATTACAAGCTAAAATAAAATAGAATAAATATGAAATGAAACAAAACAAAACAAAACAAAATTAGAATAAATTAAATTAATCAATATCGGCCCCTCCCTCAGGAGTATTGTGGGCAATACCTGGCAGTAGCCTATGGCAGGGTTCCGTTGGGCGTAGGCGGTCAGGACCCTCCTCAGTGCGGAGATGCCGGTCGGGTTCTGGAAAGCCTTGTGTTCCGGCATGGATCTGTGCAGGTCCCTCTCGATTTCATCTTTGGCCAAAGAGTCCTGTTCCAAGGCCCGGTCCAACAAGTCCGAGTAGAGTCCAGGATGAACCTCCATCTGGACCTGGGCCCCTGTGAGAGAATGGAGACCAAGTTTGGGCTGGTTAGGACTTGATTTACTCACAAAACATCTGAAGATTAGCCATAGTCACAGTATGAACTACACACACTCTGCACAGCTCCAGTCTCCTCTGATAGGTTAAAGCAGTTTCACATTTCTGTTTGTGTAAAATGAGAACACGACTCTTTCACCAGAGTTCAGAGCAGAGACAAACAATTTCCTGTCTCCTCCAGTCTCCTCCAGTCTCCTCCAGTCTCCTCCAGTCTCCTCCAGTCTCCTCCTGTCTCCTCCTGTCTCCTCCTGTCTCCTCCTGTCTCCTCCTGTCTCCTCTGTCTCCTCTTGTCTCCTCTTGTCTCTTCCAGTCTCCTCCAGTCTCCTCCAGTCTCCAGAGCAGAGATTGGTACTAAACACAACAAATTTCCTGTCTCCTCCGTCTCCCCCTCTCTCCAGTCCTCAGTCTCCACCTGTCTCCTCCTGTCTCCTCCTGTCTCCTCCTGTCTCCTCCTGTCTCCTCTTGTCTCCTCTTGTCTCCTCTTGTCTCTTCCAGTCTCCTCCAGTCTCCTCCAGTCTCCTCCTGTCTCCTCCTGTCTCCTCTTGTCTCTTCCAGTCTCTTCCAGTCTCCTCCTATTTCCTACTGTCTCCTACTGTCTCCTCCTGTTTCTTACTTCGTCCTGCCTCCTCCTGCCGCCTCCTCCTGCCCCCTCCTGTCTCCTCCTGCCTCCTCCTGCCTCCTATTCTCTCCTACTCTCTCCTCCTGTCTCCCACTGTCTCCTCCTCTCTCCTCCACTCTCCTCCTCTCTCCTCCACTCTCCTCCACTCTCCTCCACTCTCCTCCACTCTCCTCCACTCTCCTCTTGTCTCCTCCACTCTCCTCTCTTGTCTCCTCTGTCTCCTCTTGTCTCCTCCTGCCTCCTCCTGCCTCCTCCTGCCTCCTCCTGCCTCCTCCTGCCTCATACTGTCTCTTACTGCCTCCTTCTCTCTTCTACTGCCTCCTATTGCCTCCTACCGTCTCCCTCCGCCTGCTCCCACCTGCTCCTCTGAACCCGGTCTCGTACCTGAGAAGAGCAGCCACAGCTCAGCCCTGAGAGCGTCTGGGATGCCTTTGAGGACCAGGTCTCGTGTTCTGGAGGTCCGGTACATACACACCCCGCGGCCAAACTCAGAGAAGTGGAGCCGCCACGCCTCCTCCTTCAGATGCTGCCTCTTCTGCAACACAAACAAACACAAACATAACACACAATCAAGGTTTAAACTAGAACAAAACCTGGAATACAAAGGGAGTTTCATTTTTGTCCGTAAATAAATTCCTATTATAGACATCTAAAACCTCCTCAGACGTGTTTTTGATGATTATAACTTGGTAGAAATCTAAAAAAAAATCTATTTGAATATAAACCAGGTCTTAAAAATGCACTGTGTAACCTTTGTTTTGCCTAGAATGTTCCACAGCACAGATTAAACAAAATAAATTCTGTCACTAAACAAAACTCACGTCCTTTGGTCCCTGGTTGAGAGTCCCCTCGGGGTTCTCAGAGTTGCAGTTCTGGTCCTGGTCCTGGTTCAGACTCTGCTTCTCCTGGTGGTACAGCTGCAGTAAACTGTATTTGGCAGTGGGCAGATCTTGGTGGAACTGGCGGGTTTTATTCTCACCGTCGAAATTCACCGTGGACATCTGCAACAACGAGACACACGGGCTAGAACGGGGACATGTGCACACTATTTTTTTTTTAAAGGCAAGGAAAGGCAAATAGGGGGTGTAACGATATCTAACGATATAAGTCTCACGATACGATATTGTCACGGTATGAACCTCACGGTACATATTTATTGCAATATCGTGCGAAAGCTCATGATATGTTGAGTAGGCTCACGATTAGGGATGTAACAATATCCAAATCTCTCTGTACGATATTTTCACAATACACATCTCACGGTACGATATTTATTGAGATATTTTGTGGAGGCTGCAAACAAAACTGTTAATATGCTGCTTTTTCCTCTTAAAATGCCTTGACAAGACTTAATCCAAAGAAGAACTAAGACTTAAAAGTGTTAAAACTGTTATTTCTTCTTGTAGTCTGCACTGAAATGGAGCAAGGGATCATGGTCTACGTAGTTCCCTCAGTTTTTTTTTTTTAGCTATTGCTGCACCATAACTCTTAATTTAAGCAAAAAGACTTGTAATTCCATATATTGTGATGGTCCACGATATTATTGTGAGAACTTTGATGATACGATATCACGATATTTCGGTTATTGTGTATTATCCCTACAAGGCATGTTTATTTGTATAGCACGATTCGTACACAAAGTAATTCAATGTGCTTTACAAAATAAGAAATACATCACAATACAAACAAAATAAAACATAAATAATCAGCATAAAATAAAATAGAGACATTAATGAGACAGAAGAGTGCAGAATGAAAATCTCTCAGTCATACGCAGCTGAACAGAACCGTTTTGAGCCTGGATTTAAACAGAGTCAGAGTAGAGTCTGTCTCACATGTTTAGGAAGACTGTTCGAGGTTTTAGCTGCATGAATCTGAAACTCTGACTCCCCTTGTTTAGTCCCTGAGGATGGTTCATGTGGCACTAACATGTCACAGATGGACATTGGTGCTTGATCATAGAGAGACTTGTACAAGCAGAGCCACAGGAGCCAGTGCAGAGACCTGAGCTTGGGACTTGTGTATTCGGTCTGGTCCCGGTCTCAGTCCCGGTCTGGTCCCGGTCTGGTCCCGGTCTCAGTCCCGCTCTGGTCTCGGTCTGGTCTCGGACCTGGATCAGTCCCGGTTCAGTCCGTATGCGGTGCAAAAGTCCGGCATCGCAGTCACTGAAGTCACGTAAACGGGAAACGGCCGTTATCCGTTTTTTCCATTCTTCATTTAAACACAAAATCGAAAACTGAAAAAACGAATCGTTATCCGTTTTTTCATTTTGGTTTTGGAGACAAATAACGAAGAAAACTGTTGTTTTTTCGTTTTCTTATTTTTGGTTTTATATTGAAAAACGAATGAACGAATGATACACGGATTAACCTGCCAGTCAAACTTTAATCACAGATTTTTACCTTTTCAAAAAAATAATGGGTGTGGCTCCTAGCTCACTTAATCTGCTAAAAAGGAACGTGCAATCAAAACTGCACAAAGGTCAGGGGAATGTGCAATCAAAAAGTGCACATAGGCTTAGGGAGTGTGCAATTACTAATAGAACACAAGATTGCGAAGCCTGTGAAGAGTGACTTAAAGGTCCTGTTGGTGCATCACTCGTGGTCATACTTGGTCTATTATATTTTTATGTTCTATGGTGGATGTTTGTGTGGTGTTTTTGTTGTTGTGTTGTCCTGTCTTTTGATAAACCATGTGATCCCGTGTCCCAAGACAAATTTCTCAATAAAGGATTATCTTATCTTAGTCTAACCTACTGGCAAACGAGTGGATAAGTCTCTCCAAGTCTGCTTTGATTTTTGCTGTTTTTTGGCTGTTTATTTTTGTTTTTAGATCATAAAAGGCTGCAGATGTTATTGATTTGATGTGGCTGTTAAAGTTCAAGAGTCCATTATTAAATCTTCGCTCTGAAAAGTCTATTTTGGTTTTAACTAGATCAACTAGAAACTTTAAGTGTGCTGTGATATTTTTACTGCTTTGGTCCTGGTTTAACCCACTTTAGACCTGATGTAGACTTGGTTTAGTCCAATTCTGGTTTAGTTTTGGCCTAGTCAAGGCTTAGTTTCAGATTCAGTGCAGGTTTAGTCCTTATTTTGAGTTTGAATGCGCTCGTACAAAAGAAGAAGCATTCATAAGAGGGATCGGCTCTAGAAACTTCAGTCCTTTCAACTGAAAACAATCAGGTCTTTGGGGTTAAATAATGGCAGCACTTTCTGAAGCTTTAAACTGACAATGAAGGAGTAGTTGAGTTAATTGTTGTGTGGGAGCATGGGTGACTTAGGCTTGTGGGCGAAACCTTGAACAGAATCTAACCATACGGAGATTTAGGGCTTGAGAGAGATTTATAAGTTACTCAAACATGCATGGATGATGTTTAAAACCTCTTCAGGCACGTTTTTGATGAGGGAATAACGTGATAACACGGTAGAAAACTCAAAATGCTTTAAAGGGTCCATATTACACTATTTTCTGATCTGTTATAATCATCGTTTCCTCGTAACAAACAGACCTGGAGTCCTGTTTTGTTTCATTCACACATGTTTAAAACAAACCTCTACATTCGATTATCTTCCGACTCCCGCTTGGACCTCGGATTTGACATCACATCCAAGTTTGAAGCGTATTATTATATGACTATTCCCCCATCTTCTCAGCTGGAGGAAGTGTCTGGGGTGAGGGAAGTTGGGGAGTCCCTGCTTAGACTGCTGCCCATGACCCGGCCCCGGATAAATAGAAGAAAATGGATGGATGAATATTCCTAGCCTGATTCATCAGCCGGTTTCACTTCGTAGAAACCGTCTGACCTCACAGCATTAGAATTCGTTCGCTCGACTGTAGGCGGGTACTTTTTTAAATTTAACCAATCGCTGCTGTTTGGTCGTGACGTATGTAAAGCGCTACTAACGGGGCTAACTGGTATATTAAGCTTCTCCCAAATCCCGTAGGAAGAAGGGCAATAACGTCTTTCTCCTTGATTAAATTCACCAAACATTCTCTTTCTTCCAACTTTAAATCCTCGATCTCAGGAATCGTTAACAAAACAGAATGTATGGCTGGTGCCCAAACTTGCACTTCCGGGGTTTTTGCGAACCATCTAGTGCATTCTGATTCTTGACCTAGTTGCTGGAGAGAAATGAAATTGAATGCAGGCACTAGGTGGCACCAGCCTGGCTAGAATATTCCCTCATTTTATGAAAAAACTGCCACTTTAGTTTTTGAAATTTGCACTTAATTTTATGTTATGATTTCTCTTTCGTTACAACCTTAGAGATTTTAATACCTGTTAAATCAAGACTTTGTTCAATATTGGCCTCACCTACAACACCGACTACCAAACCCACAGGCAGTGATACAGATGCAGTGAGGTATTGCAGTAATACAAGTGACTGAAATTGTCATTTAAACCACCAAAGTGTCCAAACACAACGAAAACACTTCATATTTACACGTCACAGTGGGCGTAGCCATCTTAGGCCCCGTCCACAGTAGTACGTATTCGAGTCGTTTTCGTTGCGAATGCAGTGTTCGTCGAAAACTAATCTGGTTGAAAACAGCTCCAGAGACACAAGTACAGATCTGATCCAGCACTGTGTGGACACCTGAAAACACTGATACTCTGATGTAGGTCTATGCACCGAGAAGTAGCGAATTCACAGCCAAAACACTAAGAGGATAGCATATATTCATATATACGGTCTGTGCATACGACCTGCAGACGTATAATCTCTATAATAATGAAAAGTTTAACATGAACCATCTCCAACACGATAGAAGCACAGAACAGACATCAGACAACAGACCATCAGCAGAACACCCCTCTGTCACAGACAGAACACTCATATTCCACTGAGTCGTGTCCTTTAGTCCGACAGAAGCTGAACCGCATCAGCGCATAATAGCGAACTGTTTTTTGAGCGCTCAGTTTATGCAAATTAGCCATGCGCTTTTAAGTTCCGTTTTTGTAAAATGTAAACAAACATGCTCAAAGCTGTGTGGATAAGGCAGGATTGCGGACGCAGATTGTGGACGCAGATTGTTTCCGATACGGTGATACGCGGATTCGTTTCAGTGTAAACAGGGTCTTAGATTCTGACTCGGAATCCTTGCTCGGTCTACTTTTTCCGCCACTAAGATCCAAGTTGCACCGTCCCAGGCTAAGCAACTTCCTGGGAAAAGCAATTCAGAAGGATAATTAAATGCAGGGTAAGTCTGAGTTCGAGATGTAGACAAACTAACAATAAAGTGTTACTCAAACATGTGTGAATGAAACAAAACACAACTCCAGGTCTGTTTTTGATAAGATAACAATATTATAACATGACTTAAAGCTCATTAAAGTCAATTTTGCATGATACAGGACCTTTAATGAGATCCCAGAGATTATAACTGGCCTGTCCCTCTAATTAATTGGCTGTTGGTGATGATTGACAAACCGTTGGGAAAATGGGGGGGCTGTCGGGCGTCCTCTGCAGGAAGTCGGAGATCCGCTGCACCAGGAAGTCCCGGTCTTTGAGGTTGGCAAACAGGAAGTTCATCTTGTTCTTGGTGCTGATGGAGACGGGGCTGGGCAGGACAGGGGAGGAGTCGGCCTTCTCCACCACCGTCACCTGGAAGAGCGCGAAAGCCAAGGTTTAGACGAGAAGAGGACGACCAAAACCACACGCTTTAACGTTAACACCTGCTCTTGAATACACACTTACATTTTCACAGTTTGAAAATCAGTGCGCTTGTGTATAAAAATAATTAAATTCTGAATAAAAATGAATTCCACTTTAAAACGACCATGTTGTAAACACTTAATGCCTCATGAAATTTATTATTCGGAATCAAAGTTAGATCTCAAGTAAGTGAGTGGTTTATTCTGATTTTAAAGCCGAATTAATTTATTCCTCGATCATGTAAACTTCTTAAAAATAATTCCGGTCATTCAGCGCATGCTCTTTGGGTCGCCCTTCTGACGCGATCCGGACGATGAGGTTCAGGCTCCACCAGTCCTGGCTTCGGACTTTCAAATCTTTACTTTAAAATCAGAATAAACCACCCACTTATTTCGGAATTAATTTTAATTCCGAATAATCATTTTCATGAGGAATTAAGTGTTTACGTGCTCTTTTTAAAGCAGAATCAGATTAATTTTTATTCAGAATTAAATTGTTTTTATTTGGAATTAATTATACTCTCATGTAAACGTGGCAAGTGTGGTATTAAACTTGACTGTCTCCATGGAAACAACCTCAGATCAAGATACTGGTCAAGATCTGTGGAAAGGAGAGCCCGCTGACGTAGGTGTGCATGTTCTTGGAGCAGTAAAAACACCCATAATTTAATTGAATCGTAAATGAATAAGTTTAACACCACACTGATCACCATGGAGACAAACAGGTGACGGACTCTCTACCAGAAAAGCTACACAATGCAGCTTTAAATAATCAGAGAAACAGACAGAAGCACAGCTGTAACGGAGGGCAGGCTGTTACCTCTCGGAGCGGGATGATGAGTTGGCAGACGTCCTCCTGTTTGCTCCTGAAGCACAAACAGCTGCTGGACACGAACAGCTGCCCGGGCACGTGGCTCTTGGCGAACGGCGCCCACAGGGTACAGTCTGTGTGCCCGTCCAGCCGCTCCTCCTCCGTCAGACGAAACCACGAGCGGTACTGCTGGTTCTTCGCCCGAGCGTCCAGGTCCCTGTGAGAGAGAGAGACCTGTTAAAGTCCTGGTATGGATCTGTGGAGGTTTAGTCCTGCTTTAGTCCAAGTTTTCAGCAGGTTTAGTACTGGTTTCGATGTGCTTTAGTCCTGACTTAGACCTTAGACCTACTTAGACCTAACTTAGACCTAACTTAGACCTAACTTAGACCTAACTTAGACCTAACTTAGACCTAACTTAGACCTAACTTAGACCTAACTTAGACCTAACTTAGACCTAACTTAGAGACCTGACTGAGGCCTAGTTGTAATCTGGTTTGGACTTGGTTTGTACCTGGTATAGCCCTGGTTTAGTCCTGGTTCAGTCCAAGTCCCGACTTAGTCCCGACTTAGTCCCGACTTAGTCCCGACTTAGTCCCGACTTAGTCCCGACTTAGTGCCGACTTAGTGCCGACTTAGTGCCGACTTAGTGCCGACTTAGTGCCGACTTAGTGCCGACTTAGTGCCGACTTAGTGCCGACTTAGTGCCGACTTAGTGCCGACTTAGTGCCGACTTAGTCCCGACTTAGTCCCGATTTAGTCCCGATTTAGTCCCGACTTAGACCTAGTTGGAATCCTGGTTTGGACTTGGTTTGTATCTGGTCTTGGTTTGGTCCCGATTTAGTCCTGGTTTAGCCCTGGTTTAGTCCTGGTTCAGTCCTGGTTCAGTCCTGGTTCAATCTTGTTTCAGTTCTAGTTTCAGTCCTAGGTTCAGTCCTGGTTTAATTCTGGTTTAGTCCTGGTTTAATCCTGGCTCAATCTAGTTTCAGCCCTGGTTTAGTCCTCATTTCAGTCCTGGTTTTGTCCTGGTTTAATCCTGGTTTAGTCCTGGTTTAGTCCTGGTTTAGTCCTGGTTTAATCCTGGTTTAATCCTGGTTTAGCCCTGGTTTAGTCCTGGTTCCAGTGGTGTCTCCCTCACCTCTTGATCTGAGGAGCAGAGTTGCGCGTGGACCCGGGTTTGGGCGGGTCTCGGTCGGGTCTGGAGGGGTCGGTGTGGGAGCGGGCGCGGTCCTGGTCCAGGAGGGTGCTCATGGCCATGTTGGCGAGCTGCTCCATGAGTCTGAAAGTGTCCGAGATGTTCAGGAACATGGAGAAGAAGTGATGTTCTGAGCGCGTGCAGACCCGGATGCTCTCGGGGAACAGGAGGGTGCTGTTCTTCTCCAGCTGAGTCACCTCCGTCCAGGGAACCACCAGGACCACTGAACACAAACGCACAAATATAAACATAAACGCACAAAAACACACACAAATATAAACAATAAACACACAAAAACACACACAAATATGAACATGAACGCACAAAAACACACACAAATATAAACATGAACGCACAAAAACACACACAAATATAAACATGAACGCACAAAAACACACACAAATATAAACATGAACGCACAAAAACACACCAGGACCACTGAACACAAACACACAAATATAAACATGAACACACACAAACAAAAATATAAACATAAACGCACAGAAATATTAATACGCACACAGTCAGTATCATGGTAGCACATCACCAGACCTCAGGGGTTTTCAGTGAAGCGAGCTAAAGTGTAAGACTGAATTATTTGGCCAATCCAGGTTTGTCAAAGCCTCAGATCCACCAAAGTGACTGACCAGAGGTGGAGCTGAGTTGCCACAATAACAAGCACGTGGAAACAAATCTGGTCAGGACAAGACAAACTGTCAAGATTATTTTAGCTCCGTCTCCAAGGATGTCTAAAGAAACAGTTCAGTCCAAAGTTTCAGCCTGTGCATCAGAACACCTCTGTGTGTGTGATACAGGTGAAAAAGTGACTTTTATATTCGCTTGAGACTTTTACAGTCCAAACTCGGTCTCTGGTTTGGACTCTGAGGATGACTGTGGGTTCTGTCTGTTCTCTCCTTCATCACATCTGTCTCTTCATTCCCTCATCTCTCGCTCCCTGTCAAACCACAAACACGTCTGGGTGGATTATATTGTTTCTTGTTAGGCTACATGTGAAAATTTCCGTTACAGCTTCACTTTTATGCATACCAAAACTTAAACTCAGCACGTACTACAGCACACTGGGAAGGGGTCAGGCAACTTCATTCCCCGGGCTGCATTAACCAGGCTCTGCACTCCACAGCCAGCCTCCTCTCTGTCCACGGAGCGACCGGGAGAAGAGGGGGAACGAACAGGAGAGGAGGGGGAGTCATTCGCTCCTCAGATCAGAATGACCGGAAAAGTTCAGTGTCCCAAATCACTCTTGTCCGTGCGCTGTGGCCCCTCTCTCGTTTAGTCAGATCATAAAAAACATTTTTGGCCCATTTTCCGTGATGTCGTTGCTCCGTTGCTCTGTCCTTCTCACAGTCACCGCGAGCACAAAGAGCAACTTAAACTCCAGGCCTGAATTAGCTTTGGTCAGACTCAGGTTTATTTCTGTCATGGAACGACTTGAGGCTTAAGATAAAGATGGAGCTAGATTGAGCTCAGGATTTCAGGATAAGCCTGGACTTGTTAAGACACTTTGATGGAAAACCCCTCTGGACTAAACTAGGACCAAACAAGGGATTAAACCAGGAGTAAACCAGGGACATATACACACAAAGTCAGTATGAAGATAGCACCACTCACCAGAGACTACACCAGGAACTAAACCTGGAAATAAACCAGGAACTAAACCAGGGATGGACAATTATTTTTTCCATGGGGCTACTTGAGAAACAGAAAATATTGTGGAGAGCCAAAGCTTAACTCAACTCTGCATAATATTATTTGTATTTCTTTATAAAAAGCTGCAAATATCATTGTTTTGAAGAGCTGGTCAGACTGGTAAGAAAAAAAAAAACACCTCTAAAATAAAATCAATACATTTAAAACAGACTCTAGGGTCCGGCCTCACCCTCTTTTCCCAGGATGAGCGAGTAGAAGCACAGGTGGTTGACACACAGGTAGAGCCAGCCCTGCCGTGGGACCCGGCCCTTCCAGTAGCTGCAGGAGTAATAGTTCACCAGCTTCTCCTCCTCGGGCATCGAGAAGAGCCTCCTCATCTTCAGCTGGGCCTCCTGGAACTTCACCGGGTCCTGGTCGGGTTCAGAGAGAAGCGACCTCTGCTCCTCCGCTATCAGACCCTGCACACAGTTTAAAGACGGCAAATTTTACTTCTGTGGGGGCGTTCTACATGCATGTGTATGGTGGAATGATCAGCAAACCCAAGGTGAACAGGGATGTAACGATATCCAAATCTCTCGATACGATATTTTCACCATATGCGTCTCACTGTACGATATTTATTGCGATATTTTAGAGAGGCTGATCTAATTTTTGCTTTTAAAACACCCTGACAAGCATTTGGTGTGAATTATTTCCATCATAATCCCAAGAATTCAAGTAAAAATCATATTTCTTGATGTTGTCTGAGCTGAAATGAATCATGGGATTTGTAGTTTCCGATGTTTATTAACTATTGCTACTAGGGTTGGGTGGAAATACGGTATTACAGTATCCAGTGGTATCAAAAAGTAGCAACAATATCAGTTTCTTTACCATCATAAAAAAAATCTGCCGCGCATAAGGACCTAATATAATTGTAGTGGTTGTATTTTCAATTTAACGCTATCACGATTTAAAACTAATAATGTCTATAATGTTTCTTTTAACTGCGTGGGGAGATGACGTTCGATTAGTTTTGTTTCGTTGTCACGTGATGCTCATGCGGCAAGTCCAACCGCAAGTGAGTTGGTCCCAAAAAAATAAAATACTAGTACTTCTGCAATTTGGCAGCATTTTGGCTTTGTTTTACATTTTACAGAAATGAAACTTAAAACCACATGGCTCATTTGCATAAACTATAAAGCGCTGATAAAAACAGCTCGGGCCTTGTGGCTAATGTGGTTCAACTTCTGATGGACATGAATATGAGTGTTCTTTCTGTGACAGAGGAGGTGCTGAGGATGCTGAGTTTGTTCTGTGTGTGTATGGCGTTGGAGATGGTTCATGTGAAACTTTTCAGAGATTATAAGTCTGCAGGTCATACACTTGTGGCTTCGTAGCTTACCAAAGTCGTACTAAAACATTTTGGTAATACTGTATATCCCAATAAAATATTGAGAAGGTTTAACGGTATCAAAATCTGGACACCGCCCAACCCTAATTGCTACTATAAAACCATGCATTTAAGCAAAGGAACTTGTAATTCAATATGTTGTGACAGCGCACGATATTATTGAGAGACTTTTGACCATACGATTAGGGTTGTCCCGATCCAGTCACGTGATCGGAAATTAGCGCCAATCACGTGACTGCGGACTCGAGCTGGACTCGGACGTTATGTGCCGATCAGGTGTCGGATAAATAATTTATGTATATAACACACAGGACACACAGCACACAACAGTTTTTCTGAGGCACGGGATTTACTCAGGGACGTCCAGTTAGCGCGACTGTCTGTCCCAGCGCCTGCTGTACTAGAGATGCACTTACACTGGGACTTTTGGGCCGTGCGGTGCTCGGGCGCTGTTACCTGTGGTTCTGTGGCCCATGTTCACACCTGCGCGGCAGATGGCGTCATTGTACAGTGCTGTTTGTTGCAAACAAAACAAACAGCGCTGTTGTGCAGTGGAGCTGGTGCTATTGGAGGTTAGGGTTCATCCAGCAGCGTGGAGTGTCTATTGAGCGGTGGAACCGATGTTGCGTTGTTCTGTTTGTGGTGCGGAGCTGTGGGTTTGTGGATGTGGTGGTGGTGCGGGAGAGTGGGGGCGGCCGGGGGACAGAGGCTGTGGGGCTTCTGTTATCTTGTTTTTATTTGGTAAGATCTTGTATTATTTGGATTTCATAGACGAGCCTAAATGCTTAAAACATAATGCACATGCAAACATATAATATCAAATATACAAACTCTAGATTGTGCAGAGTCTAGTTTCAGGTCTGATCTGATTCTGGTCTGGTTCCTGTTTTGTCCAGTTCATTAAATTTACTAAGTTACACATTCAAAGACCAGACTGTGGTAAAAGTAAAGATTTTCAACAATGATGGTGCATGGTTAGAGAAGTTAATAATAAAATTTAAGTTTTGGACATTTGATCTTTCACAAGTTCAGCCCAACTTGTGTGCGGGATGAGATTGAAATCAACACAATCTGATCCCCCCACACATCCTGGATCTTATTCTTTGCTCTTCGTTAATTTCATAATGTTTTATAGAAGTATCGGATCTGGACTCGGGGCAAAAAAATATGATCGGAACATCCCTAGACGCGATATCACAATATTTCGGTTATTGTTACATCCCTAAAGGTGACGCAATGCACACATCAGCAAACACTCAAAAAATGTGAAAATGTTTTAAGATTGTCTGAAAACTCAAGAAAAAAATACAAAATGGATTTAAACAGCAGATTTTCAGAAGAGTTCATGATCCCGTTTAGGCGTTTTCAACAAAAAAGGTGAGAGTGACAAAGTGAAAAACCGTCATCTAGCTCTTTCTAACTTGTGACAGAAATGTTACGTGTGTGAGACTTGTTTTGCAACTCCCATAATCTCTCACCTCACAGTCGTTTTAACCAAGTCAGCTCTTTCTGGTCAGATTGTGTTAAAATGAAACTCAAGTCAAACAGGAGGAACAGAACTTCTAACAATGCAGTTCAGCAGGATGTAAACGCACCGTCACTTCCACAAACATGTTTTTCTCCGCCACAGTTTCAGGCGTTGATCAGAAAAGCGTACGATCACATGAGGCCGGCGGGAACATCCAACCGACTATAGATTTAAAAAATTACAATATCTTCATTATACAGACATATTATACGTTTTAAATTTAGATAAGCGATTTAGACGAGCGATCAGCACAGTTTATGCAAATGCGCCATGCAGTTTTAAGGTTCGTTTCTGTAAAATATAAACAAATGTGTCAAAGCTGCATTAAAAACATTATAATGTCAAAGGATTAAACCAAGACTAAACTAGGACTAACCAGAGACTAAGTCAAGGACAAGACTAGGGAATAAACCAGGGACTAAACCAGAAACTAAACCAGGACTAAAACAGGGACTAAACCAGGGACTTAACCAGGACTAAACCAGGGACTAAAACAGGGACTAAACCAAGGACTAAATCAGGGATTAAACCGGGACTAAACTTGAACTAACCAGGGACTAAATCAAGGACGAGACTAGGGACTAAACCAGGACTAAAACAGGGACTAAACTAGGACTAAACCAGGGCCTAAACTATGATTGAAACAGGGACTAAACCAGGGACTAAAATAGGACTAACCAGGGACTAAATCAAGGATGAGACTAGGGAGTAAACTGGGTACTAAACCAAAGGTTAAACCAGAACCTAAACCAGGGACTAAACCAGAGACTAAACCAGGGACTAAACCAGGGACTAAACCAGGGACTAAACAGGGACTAAACTAAACTAAACCAGGGACTAAACAGGGACTAAACTAGGACTAAACCAGGGACTAAAACCAGGGACTAAACCAGGACTAAACTAGAACTAACCAGGGACTAAATCAAGGATGAGACTAGGGAAATAAACTGGGACTAAACCAAAGGACTAACAGACTAAACCAGGACTAAACAGGACTAAACCAGGGGACTAAACTAAACCAGGACTAAACCAGGACTAAACCAGGGACTAAACCAGGGACTAAACTAAACTAACAGGGACTAAACCAGGACTAAACCAGGGACTAAACCAGGACTAAACTAGAACTAAACCAGGGACTAAACCGGGGACTAAACTAGGACTAAACCAGGGACTAAACTAGAACTAAACCAGGGACTAAACCGGGGACTAAACTAGAACTAAACCAGGGACTAAACCGGGGACTAAACTAAACTAGGACTAAACCAGGGACTAAACTAGGACTAAACCAGGGACTAATCCAGGACTAAAACAGGGACTAAACTATGATTGAACCAGGGACTAAACCAGGACTAAACTAGGACTAACCAGGGAGTAAATCAAGGACTAGACTAAGGAATAAACTGGGGACTAAACCAAAGGCTAAACCAGAAACTAAACCAGGGACTAAACAATGATTGAACAGGGACTAAACCAGGGACTAAACCAGGGATTAAATTATGGTGAGGTTTATTTGTGAAAAAAGTTCGAAAATAGACCATTCAATGACAGTGCACTTTATAATCCAGAGCGCCTAATAGCCCGGAAAATACGGTATATAATTTTTGCACTTGCACATTTGTAAGATTATGTCAAGAAACCGGGATAGTGCATTTATAACCTGGACACTGATGTACGTGTAAACACACTCAGAGAAACAATGATGATAACACTTTACTTAAAAATTTACTTTTACTGAGATGAATAAAGTTAAAGTGCTGAATATTGATCTGATCTGTTTCCCATCTTGCTAAGTAAAAGCAAACTGAGCGATTGTGTTGTTTCAGAAGAGCGTATGAAACTGGGAGCGGTTCGTACGACTCAGTGAACGAGAAGTAGCTCTCGGTTTCAAAAAGGTTGGTGACCCCTGCTCTAGTTTATAATATAATGCAAGCTGAAGTGAAAGTGTTCTTAAATGTCTTCCCAACCTCCTGCCCCGTTTACGTCGTCTGTAGAGCTGCACGAGGCACTTACGCAGATCTTTCCTCTGACGAAGGTGGTGATGTCCTCGTCGTTCTCGAAGATGGAGATGGTCTGGAGCAGGTTGGACTCGAGCCAGTCCCAGTGCTCTGTGATCTCTCTCCGCGACGAACCTAAAGAGAGACACACACACGAGCTTTAAACCTGCTCCGATTAAGACCTGGTTCAGTCCAAGTTAGAGAAAGCAAACATGTCAGCCACTTTCGATACTCTGTGTTGATATTCTACACCGACATTTTTGCACTGCCTCATTCTCTGAGTGCTCTTTTTAAACAAACTAAAGACTCAAAATGGAAATAGAAGAGTGTTATGTTTGTGGTTCTTTTTTTCCAGATCAAGAGTTTCTTTTCACACCCGACAGTTCTGTGATGTTCGCTCAGCTGAGTTCAACAGGTTTTGGTGTTGTCTTTTTACCGGTGGAAACATCACGTGACTCTGAGGAAGACTAATGAGCAGTCGAATCTGTCAGGTATGAAAACAAACTCTTGGTCTGAAAAAAGAACCACATAACATAAATTATCGGAAGACCAACTGAACCTCATTGGACTACAGAAGAGTGTTATGTCTGTACACAGTGTTGAGAAGGTTACTTTTTAAATGTTTTCCCCTACAGATTACAGATACCTAAATGTAGTTTGTAACGTAATCCATTAAATTACTTAAAGTGAGTAATGTAATCTGAATACTGTGGATTACTTGATATTGTCATGCTTTTTTAAACTATATGAATGTAGCGACCACATCCTGAAAATTCGTGTTTGTTTTCTTCAAATTGTCTGTTGAGCCCAAGTCTCCATGAAGAGACATTTGTTTGCTGTAGAGAAGCAAAGACTAAGAAATCTTAACATAAGAAGTTTTGTCTCCTAAAAGACAAGAAAAAGCTCAGTCTTTCCTTAACCATATTAAAAATATTATTGATAGAGAAATTATTTTTATATGAGATCACTGCTGCCTTAAATTATGACTTTGGGATTAATAAAGTTGTTGATTGATTGATTGACGTCCACCCTACTGTTAGGTGTCATATTGTTTATAAAAAAAAAAAGAAAAAGAAAAAAAAAAAATCACTTTCAGTACAAACATAAATGCGCCAACCCAATAAAAATCTGTAATATTGGATGTTTCTTACTCAAAATGATGCAGAATCAGATTATTAACAATGACGATTATTAACGACCTCGCCCATTATGTGACCGACGCCACCAGCGTTAACAAGATGTTTATGCAACTCTTATTGTGCGCGTTCTGTTTGGGTTTCCAGCAATGAGTGGAATTACCGGAATAAAATAAAATAAAAATAAAAAGGGATATAGCCCATGTGAAAACAAGAAAATACCGCCATGTAATCCATTTATTTCAACAAATCCAATTACCACTCATTTAAACAGTAACTGTAACTGAATACAGTTACTCATAATTTGTACTCTGATTACATAACTCCAGTACATGTAATCTGTTACTCCACAACACTGTCTGTAATTACACAAACATGTAACTAATGATTTTATATGACAGATAAATACAGTTTATTAAGAGTGAAAAGTGAATTTGTGATCGTTACTTCAACTTTAAACGTCCTGCATAACACTAAATTGACTCTTGTGAACTTTAAGCCATTTTATAATATTATTACCTCCTCAAAAACAAACTGGAGTTGTGTTTGTTTCATTCACATGTCTGAGTAACTCTTTATTATTTGTCTATCTACATCTCCAAAGCTCAAAATGCTCCTTTCCACCCTGTGATGTCATGTAGTGGTAGTTTACAATTTAACAGCTCCTTTTATCGTTTGTTCAGTAAAGATTGGTAATTCCAGGGCTGAAATTACCCAAAAGATTCTAGTGAAAATGTATTGAGTTTAAAAGCACAGCAAAGCACTTCCTGTAAAACCACAGTGTGCCTAAATATGTCGGGTTTGTGGTCTAAACATGGGTGAATGAAAGAAAACAAAACTCAAAGTATGTTTCTGATGAGGAAGCAATATTACCTGATAATTAACTTAGATCAGAAAATAGTGTACGGGCCCTTTAAGACACATCTATGGGCCTTGAAATGGACTTTGAAAGCTAAACATTTGGACCTGGGCCCATTCCTAATCTCAGTTTAGTGTGCAGTCCCTAGTTTAGTCCTGGTTTAGTCCTGGTTGAGTCCCTGGTTTAGTCCTGGTTTAGTCCCAGTTTAGTCCCAGTTTAGTCCCAGTTTAGTCCCGGTTTAGTCCCGGTTTAGTCCCGGTTTAGTCCCGGTTTAGTCCCTGGTTTAGTCCCTGGTTTAGTCCCTGGTTTAGGCCTGGTTTAGTCCTAGTTTAGTCCTGGTTTAGTCCCTGGTTTAGTCCGGGTTTAGTCCATGGTTTAGTTAGTCCAAGGTTTAGTCCAAGGTTTAGTCCAAGGTTTAGTCCAAGGTTTAGTCCAAGGTTTAGTCCATGGTTGAGTCCCTGGTTGAGTCCCTGGTTGAGTCCCTGGTTTAGTCCCTGGTTTAGTCCCTGGTTTAGTCCCTGGTTTAGTCCCTGGTTTAGTCCTGGTTTTGAACCTGATTTAGTCGCTGGTTTAGTCCTAGTTTAGTCCTGGTTTACTCCTGGTTTAGTCCCTGGATTAGTCAAAGGTTTAGTCCTGGTTTAGACCCTGGTTTAGACCCTGGTTGAATCCCTGGTTTAGTCCCTGGTTCAGTCCTGGTTTAGTCCTTGGTTTAGTGCCTGGTTGAGTCCCTGTTTTAGTCCCTGTTTTAGTCCATGATCTAGTCCTGGTTTAGTCCCTGGTGTAGTCCTGGTTTAGTCCTAGTTTTGAACCTGTTTTCGTCCTGGTTTAGCCCCTTGTTTAGTCCCTGGTTTAGCGTCTGGTCGAGTCCCTGGTCCAGTCCCCAGTCCAGTCCTGGTCCGGTCTAACAACTGACCACAGGCGATGATCCAGTAGACCTGCGAGTCTCCGGCCTGCAGCAGGATTCTGTAGGGAGCCACACGGGCCGAAGAGTCCAGCACCACGTCCAGAGTCCCCACGAGAAGGCCTGCCGAGAGACAACCAATCAGAGCGCAGCAAACCACTAACGACAGCCAATCACAATCAAGCACCGACCGCAGGAGCCAATCAGAAACCAGAACACCCCAAACCCACTAATTCAAACTGCAGATGCACCGAGGGGCAAAAGACAAATGCTGTATGGTCAACTCAGTATCAGAATATGAAATTATCTAATCGGGTGCCCTTTTTTAAATGTATTTTATTTTTTAAGTTAGATAAAGTAGACGGGATACTTTACTTTTACTATTTATGTGTATTACGGACACTACAATCGCATTAGAAAAGTCAGATGCATTGCTTTTGCTCTGAGTGTTTTAGCACAATTACCGGTTTTCAACACCTGTGTGTAGAAAAAAATTTAAGAAACACGCAACAACGAAGATCCTACTTCAAACAAAATGGATTATTGTGAGCTTTAGTCATGTTAAAACGCTCTTACCTCTTCATAATTACACAGGTTTAACACACAAATCCTAGGCTGAGTTCTTCCCTCAAACTGTAAACACTGTATTTACTGTGGTAATACAGGAAGTGCTTTACTGTAGTTTTAAACTCTATACACCTTCACTAGAAACATTTGGCTGATTTTGTCTCTGAAAACGACCTCTTCATGACATCACAAGGTGGAAGAAAGGATTTTAAACATGTGTGAATGAAACAAAACACAACTCCAGGTTTGTTTGAGGCGGTAACAACGTCACAACTAGGGCTGGGTATCATTAAGAAGTTGTCGATACGATACATATTTCGATACAGTGCACTTTCGATCCGATACGATTCAATGAGGTATACTTAAAATCAATTTGATACGGTTAAATAACTAATAATGTCTAAATCATGGCTGTGTTAAATCGCTTCTTGTGCAAAGTTCATGAAACACACAAATTTTAGTCATCAAATGTCAAATGTGTTGCATAAATTGGTTTCCTTTCTCTAAGCAAGTAGCAAAACAATTTTGTAAAACATACCAAAAAACATTCTTGGCGATAAATCAATACAGCAGCCCACGATATCGATACTGTATCATCACATTACACGGTATGATATATCGATTTTCAATATTTTTGCACACCTCTAATCATAACATGGTTTATTTATTATTTATATTATTTATTATTTAAGAAAAGAGGGAGCAGCTCACAACAAGAGTAAATTTTGCGCAATACAGGACCTTATAGATCATGTGAGAGAGTCCATCAACACCTTATGACTAAACACTAGGAATGTAACAATAACCAAAATTTCCTGATATCGAATCGTCAAAGCCTCTCAATAATATCGTGGACCATCACAATATATAGAATTACAAGTCTTTTTGCTTAAATTAAGAGTTATGGTGCAGCAATAGCAGAGGGAACTACATAGACCATGATCCTTTGCTCTGTTTTGGTCCAAACTACATGAAAAAATAACAGTTCTAAGCATTTTTAAAAGTCTTAGTTCTTTGGATTAAGTCTTGTCAAGGCATTTTAATTCAGTTCAATTCAATTCAGTCTTTATTAAGAACGCATAATATCTGGTTCATAGTATTAAAAAAAATAGTAAGAAGTAAGAATAAAACATTTAAGAGGAAAAAGTAGCATATTCACAATTTTGTTAGCCTCCACAAATTATCGCAGTAAAAACAAAACCGTGAGATGTATATCGTGAAAATATCGTACCATGAGATTTGGATATCGTTACATTCCTATCAAACATTGGAGCTTTTAGACTTTTAGAAGCGGTCTGGATCAGTTTGGAGCGGTCAGTGCTAGGGCTGGGTATCATTAAGAAGTTGCTGATACGATACATACCTCGATACGCAGGCCACGATACGAAACATATCTCGATACAGTGCACTTTTGATTTGAAATGATATATTTCAAATCGATTCGATGTGGTTCAATAAAAAATAAAGTCTAAATCATGGCTGTGATACTAAAAGTCTTTTTAAACCACTTCTTGTGCAAAGTTCATATGAAACACAAACATTTTAATCATCAAAACAGTGAAAATGTCAAATGTGTCGCATAAATGAGTTTCCTTTCACTCCACAAGCCACAAAACTGTAGCACTGTAACAAAATAATTTAGTAAAACACACGCAAAAATACTCTTGCTGATATATTGATACAGTAGCCCACGATATCGATACTGTATCATCACATTAAACGATACGATATATCGATATTCCGATATTTTTGCACACCCCTAGTCAGTGCACACACCCAGACCCGGGTTTGGGCTCGCTCCCCCGGGCAGCACACTCACCGGACAGACCCCCTCCGCGGCCGTGGCCCTTCCTCCGCTGCAGGATGAAGAAAGGGTTGGCCCGCTCCGAGACCCACAGCGGCGCGGCCAGCCCGACCTCCTCCGGCTCGACCCACATCCTGCTCCCGCTCAGGGCGCCCACCGAGCTCCGTCAGGCGGGGACAAACCCTGGGAACCCACCGCTGGTCTGAAGGCCGCCAACAGAGCTCCGTCGGGCGGATGCAGAGTCCGGGGCAAAGCGCACAGGTCCAGGCCGCCCTCAGAGCTGCGCCAGGCGGGAACAAACTCTGAGGCCCGCCGCTTGAGGAGGGCTCTCTGCGGAACTCTGTGCTCTGTCCAGGCCGCTCTCCGCGCTCTCTCGGGCGGCCTGTCACGGAGCTCTCCTCGGTCCTCTCCGCGGTGCTTTGGATCGTGTTTGTTGTTTTGACTCAGGTGACAGCTCGTCACTTCCGGGTTTTACGCTGACAACGTGATAACGTCACGTGCAGTGTTCCCGTTCCGCTTTTTTTTCCCCCCTGTTTTTGTTTGTTTGTTTGTTTGTTTGTTTTTTGTTTTTTTGTTTTTTTTTGTTTTTTAATCAATCCAAAATGCAAATATTGAAAAACTAATTAATGTACTTATTAGCAAATACCACATCCATAGAGGAAAATTCTAGGTAATTGAAGTGGCCTTTTTGCAGGATAAGTGTTGAATCGATTGAAAATAATGATTTATTTCAATTAGTAGTAATGGAAAATAAGGTTTCATTTTTGAGAAATTGGTAACACTTTATAATAACTACACCTTACTTAGCCTTAATAAAGCATGAACAAAGACTTAATTAATAATGAACAAAGATTTAATTAATAATGATTCATGCTTAGTAAATATTTAATAAAGCATAATTCGTCTTCACTTTAGAAAAGCTCTCAAAAAGACTTAACTAACAGATAACAGCTGCCTGAATTATCATTAGTAAATCATTCTCTCATAGTTTACTAATGATTAATAAATGCTCAAATGGTTAGTCCATGAGTAATTAAGTATGAAATAATTATGAGTAACTATTTACAGCACAGGCAAATTAAGTGCAAGTGCTAATTAAGGTAGTAATTAAGTAGTTACTAAGCATGAATCATTATTAATTAAGCCTTTGTTCATGCTTTATTAAGGCTAAATAAGGTGTAGTTATTATAAAGTGTTACCCTACATATACCATGATCCTTTGCTCCATTACAGTGGGGACAACATGAAAAGTAATAATATAATAATCAGAGTCATATTTCTTCAGCACATTTAAATCCTAATTCTTTGGTTTATGATGGAACAAAAGTCTTGTCAAGGCATTTTAAATGGAAAACGTTGTATTTTCACTATTTTGTTAGCGCATACAAAATATCACAATAAATATCATACTGTGGGATGTATATCGTGAAAATACCGTATCGAGAGATTTGAATATTGTTATGTCCCTTAGGAAAACTATATTTATATGGAGCGAGATTTACAGTGGTGGATCTATTCTAAAACCATCCTGGGTAATTCTAGGTCCTGGTGTGTGTAAAATCCCTCAGTCGTCCAGGGAGAATCCACGACAAAAGGAGAAATTCAGTTTGTCAATTGGACAAAAGTTTATTTAGGTCGAAAATGCTGCATCTTCAGTTCTGGTCGGACGTTGGCGGATGCTGCCTTTTGAATTTCTCTTTTTGTCTAGATTCTGCAGCATCTAATTCAGTTGATGTGCAGTGTTGGGAAGGTGACTTTTAAAATGTATTCCCCTACAGATTACAGATTACATATCCCAAAATGTAGTTTGTAACATAATCCATTAAATTACTTAAAGTGAGTAACATAATCTGAATACTTTGGATTACTTGATATTGTCATGCTTTTTCACTTGTTTTGTATATTCTCATTTGTCATTTAATAAATAAATTTAAAATATATATATTGTCATGTTTTTTAAAACTACATGAACGTAACAACCACATCCTGAAAATTACTAATACTTGACCACATAAAAAATATTATTGATAGAGAAATTATTTTTATATGAAATCACAATTATGTCCACCTACTGTTAGTGTCATATTGTATTAGTTTAGTCCTAGTTTAGACCTGGTTTTAGTCCTAGTTTAGTTCTAGTTTAGTTCAGTTCTGGTTTTAGTCCTAGTTTAGTTCTAATTTAGTCCTGGTTTAGTCCTGGTTTTAGTCATAGTTTAGTCCTGGTTTAGTCCTGGTTTTAGTTCTAGTTTAGTCCTGGTTTAGTCCTGGTTTTAGTCCTAGTTTAGTCCTGGTTTAGTCCTGGTTTTAGTCCTAGTTTAGTCCTAGTTTAGTTCTAGTTTAGTTCTAGTTTAGTCCTGGTTTAGTCCTGGGTTTAGCCTTAATTTAGTTCTAGTTTAGTCCTGGTTTAGTCCTGGTTTTAGTCTTAATTTAGTTCTAGTTTAGTCCTGGTTTAGTCCTGGTTTTAGTCCTAGTTTAGTCCTAGTTTAGTTCTAGTTTAGTTCTAGTTTAGTCCTGGTTTAGTCCTGGTTTTAGTCTTAATTTAGTTCTAGTTTAGTCCTGGTTTAGTCCTGGTTTTAGTCCTGGTTTAGTCCTGGTTTAGTCCTGGTTTTAGTTCTGGTTTTAGTTCTGGTTTTATTTCTGGATTTAGTCCTGGTTTAGCCCAAAATGTGAAAACAGGAAAATCGGTTTAAACTTGGTGAAGTCTTACTTGGAGTTCCATTTTTTGTTTTTTTGTTTTTGTTTTGTTTTGTTCATGTTATGGTGTGCACCGGTTTAACCCTGGTTTAGTCCCCATTTTAGCACCGTTCAGAAAAATTAACGAAGCCACAAGTTGCTCTTTGTAGTTCCTAAGACGTCCACTAGATGCTGCTGTTGCTACACTTTAGGCTTGTTTCTTATAACCATTTTATTGTGGGCTACTTTTTATTATTTTTGTATATTTTTATAGATCGTGTTTACGTATTTTGATAATGTATTAATGTCAGACATAGTTTTATTCACATTTATAATCCACAAATTGCCTTATCGTTATTTATAAGTTATCATTTAGCTTTCAAAATCGTTGCATATTAATCTTTTTCGTTTAAAGTCCTTTTCCAGAGACATTAACCACAAACCAGGTCAGCAAACAAAACAGACCAAGTGAGAGGTCAGATCTGTGGAGAGGCGACCCGGCTCACAGTCAGAATTTAGTTTTTCTGGGATTTTTTGAGCTATAAAACCACTTGTAATCGAATAAATATAAAGTAGAGCTGTCTAATGTCATACTTTGGGACATTCCAAGCAGAGCAGTGACATCTCCATAGAAACAAGCATTTGACAGACCCTCCACTAGAAAAGTTACTTAGTGCACCTTTAAACAATAAGTCCCACCTGAGAATTCTTGATGGAGAGAAGGGAAGGGGCTATAACTTTTTAAGAGATTCATGTTTTTTTTCCAAAGAAGCTTCTAAACAATCCACAAATGTAGAATCGTATTATTATTATTTAAACTCGTCATATTAATCTTATGGCTTAAAGGTGCACTGCGTAACATTTCTAGTGGAGGGTCTCCATGGAAATTAAGGCTCAGTATCATTAAGAAGTTGTCGATATGATACATATCTCGATACATAGGCCACGATACGATACATATCTCGATACACATAGGCCACGATACGATACATACCTCGATACCTAGGCCACGATACGATACATATCTCGATACACAGGCCACGATACGATACATACCTTGATACATAGGCCACGATACATACCTCGATACGTAGGCCACGATACGATACATACCTTGATACATAGGCCACGATACGATACATACCTCGATACACAGGCCACGATACGATACATACCTCGATACCTAGGCCACGATACGATACATACCTCGATACATAGGCCACGATACGATACAATACCTCGATACCTAGGCCACGATACGATACATACCGATACGATACATAGGCCACGATACGATACGATACATACCTCGATATACGATACACATAGGCCACGATACGATACATACCTCGATACGTAGGCCACGATACGATACATATCTCGATACACAGGCCACGATACGATACATACCTCGATACGCAGGCCACGATACGATACATACCTCGATACATAGGCCACGATACGATACATACCTCGATAAGCAGGCCACGATACGATACATATCTTAACACATAGGCCACAATACGATACATATCTCGATACATAGGCCACGATACGATACATACCTCGATACATAGGCCACGATACGATACATATCTTAACACATAGGCCACGATATGATACATACCTCGATACGTAGGCCACGATACGATACATACCTCGATACACAGGCCATGATACGATACATATCTCGATACAGTGCACTTTCGAGTCGGTGAGATATATTTCAAATCGATTCTGTTCGATTCAATAAAAAATTAATCGTGTAACTTGTGGTTGTGACACTAAAAGTCTTTGTGTCACTTCTTGTGAATGTGAAACACACCCATTTTACTCAGCAAAACAAGTGAAAATGTCAAATGTGTCACATAAATGAGTTTCCTTCCTCTTAAGCAACAAAATTGTAGTGCTGGAAAAAAAAAAAAACATCGTAAAATGTTGCTGATATATCCATATTGTATCATCACATTAAATGATACAGTATATTGATATTTTGATATTTTTCCACACTAATGATGGAAATGTTATTGCTTTATCTGGAATGTTCCACAGTTTTGATTAAACCGTATCATATCTATAACGAGGGAGAGAAGCAGGCTACATTACAGTTCAGATCTGTGGAGAGGCGTCCCTTTTCACAGAATGAATAATTGTATTTTTTTAGCTACAGAAACATATATAATAAAAGCATAATAATATAATAATAATAATAATAATAATAATAATAATAATAATAATAATAATAATAATAATAATAATAAGGATAAGTTTACTGTCATACCATGGAACATTCCAGATCAGGGGTCTCCAACCTTTTTCCTTTGGGTGAGCTACTTTTACAAAACAAAAATTCCAGAAAGCTACAAATTTTAGGAAATAAAGTGTACATAAGAGCCATGGCAAGACTTAGATGGTGTACCTTTAGATAAAACATAGAACTATTTATTTTTGAGTGCACAAAGTCAGGCCTGAAAATGACAGATTTACAATAATAATGAGCAGAGGTGGGACAAAGTCGTCGTTTGTGCAAGTCTCAACTAAGTCTCAAGTCTTTGACCTCAAGTCCGAGTCAAGTCCCAAGTCAAATACAAGCAAGTCCAAGTCGAGTCTCGAGTCACTGGCCCATAAGTCCAAGTCAAGTTCAAGTCTTCTGCTTTGAGCGTCAAGTCATTTCAAGTCTTTAAACCAAATTACCAAATATATCTTAGATTTTTGCAATTTATATGAATTTTAAAATAAATTGTGCTTAAAAAAAAATCATAGTATATTTATATATGAGTAT